TCAGGTGACTCTATCCTATACGAAAGTTGAGATCTATATTCAATTTTTTCCCTTTACATTCACTACACTGAGTGTTTCATTTTCCTTAGCTTCTGTGGCTAAGTACAACTCATGGATGGGTGTATTTGCTTAACAGAAACTGTGGGGCACATTCTGCTCTCATTTGCAGAGGTTTCACACTCATGCAATCCAAGTTACTTCGACGGAGTTATGACTGAACAGTTGTCTCTAAAAATAGATCCTAAAATGGATTCTCCCTCAGTTATACCGATTCAAGATTGTTCTACTTTATGTTAGCACTTAAAGAGTTATTTTTTCCAGAGAAAAACAGTGAGAGTATTGAAATAGTTTCTTATAGAAATTATTCCCAAAAAATGAGATCTATTGTAAAATGTAAGGATTAATTTATTAATCAGAGCTTTCTGAAGTCTCACATTAAGCAGCTTTGTTATGCTAATTCCCTTATAAATGAATAATGGACTTATTCTCCCATTATTGCCTATCATTTTAAAAGCTCCATTTAGAAAATGAAGATGTCCTTTTCGCTTTCAAATTATGGTGTGTTTTAGGGCAGAAATTTGTTTTAAACTGAATTGTTGGTTCCCTCCCCCACTATCCATACTCATCATTTATTGTTCCAAGCAGATTCTTACAGCCCCAACCATTTACAATATAGGAAGAAAACTCTGAGAAGAAAACACAACTGAGTCAAATAGGTAGACCTTGAGAACTTAATTTGTATGAATAATTTAGGCCAAAGTCTGCCTTGAAATGCGAGGTAAAAGGAGAAGAAATTGAGAGGCTGCATTTGCTTCATAGACAAAGTCATCACTTGGTTTTATGCTAATATAGGCAAATAGAGATGTTTGTCTCTGAACTGGGAATCAGAAGATTCTTGGTTCTGTCACAGACTTTTTGTATGACTATGTGATCATCATTAAAGTTGTTAATGCCTCAGTCCCCTACCTGTTATATGGGGTTAACAATATTTTATTACTCCCATCTCTTGTCTGTCTTTTCTGTTGGGACTTTAAGCTCTGCAGTTTGAGGATGTTGCCAACTATGTTTATGTTGAGCCGTTGGCATAATAGAGCCCAGTTATTATAAAAAACCCAGAAAATAATTTATGTAAAGAACACTCTGCTATCCGACTGATTTTTTTTAGTTTCACCTCTGGCTGCATATGCTAGGAAATGGTTCCTTAAGAGTTCTCTCAGCATGAAGAGCCAGGTTCTTAAAGGTACACATACTGTCAAAACACAGTACCATTGATATGACACTGCCATTTTTGGCAATATCTTTTTGTTCACATTGTTTTCCATCCTCTTGATGAACAATCATTGTCATCATGATCCTCTCTCTAGTGATCCTAGTACCCATAGACTCCCATCATCCGTCTCTCCACTCTCTGCCATTACCCCATTTGTTCTTCGCTTTCACTGGTGGACAGAGTGGATCATAACAAGGCCATTCTGACACAAGTGGAAGCAAGGAGGCACTGCAAGGTGATTTGGGGTTCTACTGAAACTGGAACAAACCCATAACAGGTCAACACACAAAAACTGTCCTTTCAAACTGGGACAATATGGTAAATGAGGTCATCTGAGCACAGTTCCCTTTTATTTCGCTCTCTCTCTCTTTCTCTCTCTCTCTCCCACACACACACAGAGTTAACTTTTACACAGAGGGGAAGGAAAAATGAGAAATAAAAGCTATTGCCAAAATCCTTCAATGATAACAAGACGTGAAATGAACTACTTCAGTTTCACTTAAGAGAGCTCAAAAATATAATCCCCAAAGTGATAAATTACACACATTACCAAAATAATGTAGTGCTCTCATAATGGATAACTGATCATTGGGCATTGTCCATGTGTTCTTACTGGAAATTAAGTGGGGCCAATATGGAATTTTTACGCTAATTCTAAAACTGGGTGGCTTTAAAAAAATGAGAACACACGCTGCTGCAATGTCATGGTAAAAGAAAAGACTGTCTATTTATTGGCTAATTTAGAGCCAAGCTGTATATTTCGCTAGTTTCTTATGTGGTGGTTATCTCTGTGGCATCTGGGCACCTGTGAAAAATCTCCCAGTTTGGGGTGCAGAGGAAAACTTTTTGAAGGCAATTTCACCAGTCAAAGAAGAGGGATCCAATACTCTTCAATGGGTAGCCTTGGTAGGGAAGTTACTCCTTAAACTTGAATGCCTTCAAACCTGCTGCAGACTAAGACCACTATATGTAAGCTCTATCCCTTTGATACAGTTCCAAGACTCCTTACCTAAGCAAAGAAAGGGTTAAAATGAATTATGACATTGTGGAACAAATTAAACCCTAGTGTAAGTGGAGACAATGTCCACTGGAGCTGTGTACCTTTATGACATAGCTGAAATTAGCTCAATATATGTTAGATACTCCCCCTCCCCCAAACCAATGCATTTCTAGTGCTAGATCCCACCCTATGAAACGTCTTGCAGGACAAGACTATAATGAACCATAATATTCATAATGCTCATATTCAGGGTCTTTTGAAATCCACATTTTGTCTGAAGATCGTCCAAAAATGCACCCGCACCTGTAATGCTATTATCTGTCAACACAATGCCACATATCTCCTAGCCATTCCGCTTGGCTGTTGCCACGACTGTGCCCTATATGCCCACTGAAGGGTACAAATAAGAAAACATTGTTGTTCTCCCTCCTCTTGTCATGCTGCTTGAAGCATCATGCATTTTCCTGTCCCTATTCATATTTTACCTCTATTACTGCCATGGTACTTTTACCTGAATACAAATGAAACATTCTCAGATACTTTCAAGAACCTCTGAATTACAAGATTCCCTGGTATTCCTGCTATTATAGGCCTTTTTTTACAAATACCTTAAAAATAGGTAAAAGGAAAGCCTTTTCTGACCGATCCCTTATGCCTCGTGCAATGAGGTTTACAGGATCAGTCGGAAAAAGCTTTCCTTGTCGACCGATCCCCGTCTAGACTGCCGCTTAAAAAGCGGCGGCCATTCCTATTCAAATGAAGCACAGGATATTTAAATCCCCGCATCATTTGCAATAGCGATGTGCCTAATCTACATCCTTCTGTTGGCAGAGCGGTGTAGTTTAGATACACCCTATTATATGTTTTTAGCGAAACCAAATAAAGGTTTCTTTAGCAAAACATAGCAATTGCAGTAACAGCAATTAGAAGTATTAGAAGCACATAAAATAAAATCATCAAACACATTCTAGAACCTAGACTTGCTTAACTAAAGACTTTTATGCCTTATAGGCTGTGACGGCATCACTGGCTCTTTAAGCGTTAAAACCCAGCTTTGGGAGAAGGCTGAGAGAGTGCAGCTGATAGCTGATGCAGAGACAGCCCCCAGCAGGGGCAGTATAAATAAGGGCTGCTGGAGGGAAGGAGAACAAGCAGTCTTGCCCTAGCCAGGGAGCAGGAGGGACCTGGCTGCCAGGGAAGTTGGAGGTTACCTGACACAGAGCAGTGCTAGGAAAAGGCAGGTAGAGCTGGGGAGCTCTGGCCTGACCTCACTCTCAGGCTACAGGGCCTGAGCCAAGGCCTGAGTGTACTAGGGCTGCAGGGAAACAGCCAGGATAGAAAAAGGCAGCAGGTCCACTTGCCAATGATGAGTGGTCATTTCAGATTGTAGCTTGCCCTGGAGGTAAGGGGCTAGATGATGACTGGCAGTAGGTCACTGAGGCAACACGGGTATAGGGAAATTGGGGGTTCCCTGGGAGTGGAGGATCCCACAGCGTGAGGGCACTAACCTAGGACAGACTGAGAAGGAAAGGGCACTGTGGCCAGGAAGAGACATAGAGCTGAACTAGCAGAAGACCTGCCCCAGAGGCTGAGACACTGATTAGCAGAGGCAGGAGTGCTGATTCCCCGAGTGACCCATGGAGGTGCCATGGAGGTGAGCGCCTGCCCCGTGACATAGGCCAATGCTCACTCAAAGTCTTTCAAACTTTTAATATAAGAACGACCATGCAGACCACAGGTCCATCCAGGCCCAGTTTCCTGTCTTCCGACAGTGGCCAATGCCAGGTGTTTCAAAGGGAATGAACAGAACAGGGAGTCATCAAATGATCCCTCCCCTTTCACCCATTCCCAGCAGCTTTCTTCCTTCATGAAATGTCCAGGATATCTGCTTGTACTCCCAAATATACCAGAACAATACATTAACCTTTTTCATAAGCAAAATGCCCTGTGATGGTTGTTTTCCCCCAATATTTTATTTTATGTCGATTTTGCAATCTTTTGATCAACATCTGGTTCAGGATGCAAATAGGCAGGGCTCGACAAATAATACTATCTACTCACCTATGGTGAGTAGATTGTAACCTGGAAGAGCCGGGTTCGGGTGATCTGCGCATGCGCAGAACGATCTGCGCATGCGCAGATCGCCGGACAGCGCGGCTGGTGAGCAGGGATCGCCACGGTTCGGTGAGCCCTGCAAATAGGCATACATTAGTGAAGCACGCAATGAGCAGACAGTGTGATAAGCTTGTTACCCCCCTGTCTGAAAAGAACCTGATCAAGACATGTTACTTCCTGGTTACCTGCTTTAAGAACATAGTTTTCAATATAGACACATAACCTCCTAAATATTACCTGTACATATATTTCACAATGATTATAATGACTATTGGATCTCTGCAAAGACCTCACATGCCACTCTTTAGTGAATTAATATGCATATTTCTGGCACAGATCACTTTAAACTTTGTGCACACCCTGTACCCTCTGCAGTATTGATCCACAGGGTACTTTTTTGTCTCATTTCCAAAATCTAGATGTAACAAGTAATAGGCATAGTTCTGGCAGCAATTATCTTCAGCCTATTTTTCCCCTGATATTCAGTCTTTATTTTTTCCTTCTCATATGTGAATTTATTTAAAGACTGCTCAGCAGACAGCAAGAAACACAGGATCCCTATGCACTGGTTGATTTCACACCATTACATTTTTTTTATCAAAAATATGTGTGTCTCCCATCTGTGTTTTTCCATTTCATTGTACAATATTTTCACCTGCAGGGCACAGAGCATTGCCAGCCAGCATTTCAGAATCTGACCTTCCTGATGCAGCAGGTAGGTTGTTGAAGCTAGTAAAACAAAAAACAAAAACAAAACAAAATTACATTTCAGGATTTATTTTGGAGAACACACATTTAACTGATATCTTAGTCCGGCTGGAGAGGTAGGTTTTAACAAATGAATCTACAACAACTGTAGTTTAAAAGTTCCTATTCACAAAAGCATGAAGCAAAAACAAAATGTTTTTAAACTGCCAGTGTTATCACTAATTATTAAAAATCATTGTTTTTGTTTTACTTTAATTTTTCTTCACATAATTCATCTCTTTTTTATTCCTTTTCCTGCAATGAAATAAAATGATTTATTTTACCATTGACAGCAATATAATCAGGATGAACTCACTATTTGTAGAGAGACAGAAGAAAAACTGAGATCAAGAGTGAGACAGAATTGCTTTTCACATTAGTGCTCTCAGCAATTAACGTCTAGTCCTCATGAATGCATTTATAACTGCATCACAATACTATATGTGCACATTGTGATGTTGTAAAAGGTTTCCCCAGAGTTTGAAAGGTGCTCTTTAAATAAATGTATTCATTTAAACTTCTTTTGAGATTGTAAATTGGTTATGCTATTAAATTTTACTTATTACCTGTTGAGAAGCATCAAATAAAAATAAATTCTCTCTGCCATTCTGCACTTTTTTCCACAGTATATATTTTTATTATAAACAAATGAGACTATATAACCCCTCTTCAGATTTTAGACTGAGGATTCATCATGCCAACAAGGGTACTCAAATACACATAGCATTGCATAAGTTGACTTCAGGTTGAAATTGTTTCAGTCTTTTATCCTGAAAAGAGGCAGTACAAAATGAACTTAGTCCATTAATTCAGTGTTTCCTGATGCTTTATACAGTAGAACTGTATGATTTTTTGTTTGTTTTTTGTTTTTAAATTTCCATTAGGTAACACCGTAATGAGAAACTGGCCCAATATTTGAAAAAAAATGACCCTGGATATCACAACAATAATAAATGTATTCTTATAATCTGCATTGCATGTGTCAAGGTAATTGTATGTTTAGATACCTATTTGTGTGTTTTTGAATGAGTTTCAATCACTTATCTCTCATCCATGCTCCAATCTCTCCTAAACATAAGTCTAGACTTTCAGCAGCACCAGTCAGATCTGTGACACAGAGAAATAGACTGGGGTGTCATCAGCAAACTGAAACACTGCAGCTTGTGCCTCCTTACCAACTCATCTACAGGTCCCATATATGCACAGAATAGGAGAGGAGACAAAATGGAACCCAACAGAACACAGCGTGACAACACCGTTAGGGTAGAAAAACTAAGGGATGTCCCACGCGGATTGACCAGCAAAAAATGAATGCAAACCATGCACTCCAGTTGGGTTTAACAGGTGAAGCAAGGGCTTGTCTACACAGAGCTAGTATATAGAATGCTGAAGTATGAATTTACCATGCCCTAACTTCCTTGTGTGAACGTTCTTGCTATATACTAAAAGTAACTTAGTTTAGCTTCAAAGTGTATTAAGTATACAAAGGAATGTTTAGTGCACAGTAAAGGTATCCACGTGGGTCATGTATTCTCACCCCCCTCATTAGGACCACACTATCTTCCCATGTAGAGAAGCCCAAACAAATAGCACCTCATGATCAAACTCTCAAAGCAAGACACTATATCCAACAGTCCAATCCAGGCATGCGGGATAAAATCCTGGCACTCATTAATCTACAGTATGCCAAAATTAGTTTTGATTTCAATGAAGCTAGGATTGCACCCCATTGTACACCCATTGCCATAAGAAAAACATTTACCAATGCGCTCTGTGAGCCATAGCCAGGTCTGTAGCCAAGATGACAAACACTAAGGAGATACTTAGTTTCCTTAGTTTATGAGAAAAATTTCATTATCTAGCCAACATGAATAAGGGAGCTTGCCATTGGCTTCAGTGGATACAGGATCAGACCCAGGACCCATGGAGGATCAGGCATAGTTTGGGACTTGGGTAGTTTCATTGAATTCTCTCCTCCATATGAACTTTTCATTTTCATCCTCCAGCTGTTGTTTCATTTTGTTCTAAACATTTCTTCCTAAATGAGTAGTGTAAATTAAGCAACACAATATAAATCATAGGCAAACCGCATGATATATTTACAGGTAATTATAGGTCATGTAATTGCTGATTGTTGTTTTTAATTGAAGCACTAGTCAAAGCATTGGCCGTAACGGGCAATGGAATAAATAATAAAGATACTTTGCACAGATACAGTGCTTTACATCTGCAAAATGCTAATCAAACTAGCTAATTAATGGAACAATGCTTTTAATTCCAGTTCTGTGCTAAAGTTCACAATGATGAAAGTCTATGTCAAAATACAGGTTATAGTCACCATAGTTACCAGGTTTTGGTATCGGTTATTGTATCAGAAAATAATACAAAGGAAAATAAGCAGAAAATCGCTATAACCATAAACTCTGTTTTCAGATAACAAAAATGTCTGAGGAAACTAGTATTCATTAAGCTAGAGCACTGAGCTGCAGCAATTTTGATGGAAGACTTGAGGAAAACAACCGGAGGATACATCACTAGTTTGTTAATCATTTAAAATGCTCTTAATCTATTTGTACACATGCTTCCCAGAAACCTTCCTAGTTTTAGTTGGGTCCAAACCTTTACCCCTCCCCCCATTTAAATTAAAAGAGTAAGATTAAGATTGTGCTTGTTATTTTTGTCTCAGAACCTTCTGTTAACTCATCTCCTTTTATGATATTTAATATAGAGATATATTTCCTTCCCTAAAGCTAAGCAAAGCTATAATTATTAAGAAGATAGTGCCACAGTAGTAAAGGGACTGCTGTGTCATCACTAAATTATAAGTAATAAAATAATGTGAGTTATTCTATAACTAAGGGCTATATACCACAATTGCTCCTCACACAGAACTCCTGTAGAAGACAATGGGCATCTGGGGTACAAACTGACCGCCAGATGTGAGACTGTTTAATTAACTCATTATCATTATACTAATACAGACAATAATAGCAAAACTAAGGGTCTAATTTACCAGTACACTCCAGCTGCTTTCCTCTGCTCTGGACACACAAAGCAACCATTACGCTGACTTAACTAGAAGCCAAGGTTATGAATAGATTTATAGATTCTAAGGTCAGAAAAGACCACTATAATCATCTAGTCTAACCTCAGGCAAATACAGGTCATAGAATTTCACCAACTGATTTCTGCTATAATTTCCATTCTGGTTGTTTTGCATCCATGCACCAGTTGTCTATATGGGAATCAACATGTCACCCCTTCTCCTCAGATTTTATTTACTCAAGTGGCATACAGCTGTACCTTGCCAGAAATTGCAAGTTCTTGTAATGTAGGCGACTCCATCCAACTTCAACGGCAGCTTAAAAGAGTGATGCCAACATGAGAAGTTGTTTTATATAACAAATGGCATTTTGCAATTCCATGGCACTCAGTGATTGGAAAATACAATGCACAGAGTATATAGGTACCATTATCCCTGTATTATATATGGGGAAACTGGGGCACACAACAGTGGCAGAATTTGCCTAGTGACAAATGGTGACACTGGTAGATTTCGTGCTTGATTTTCAGATCCATCTTCAATCCACCCATCCATAAATGCATATGCTTTGCCAACAGAAAACCAGGCAGGGTTTGTATTCAATATCTCCCACTTAGTAAAGATTGGGAATTGAGTAAGAAAAATATGTTTTGGTTTTTGTCTAGTTTTATGTTTTTATTAAAGACTATTGAAAAATAATTAACACATGCTAGAGGCTTATTAGATAAAAACTAACAGGATTTATTTAAAAATTAAAACAATCCCCCAAAAGTCTAGCAATTTTTTTTTGTATGGTACAACAGAACATTCAAAAATTGCAAGTAAAAGTATAAGATATATGGCAATTGAAAATTGAGCTGGTATTTCTTGCTGACCAAATTCTTCACAATTCTTGAGAGTGATATTTAGTATTTTTAATTTATGCAATGGTTGTCTAGTGGTTACCTACTGGGCTTCCACCAAATTTACTTCAGAAAACCTCATCTAAAATTTAACATTAGTTTTGATTTCAGCTCATTTTATCTAGTAACTCAGCTGGAATAAAGATGTGAAGGAGTGAAGTGAATAATCCATGCTTAAAGTATTTGTAGCAATAAGATATTTAGGGCTGCAGTGTTTTATTAGTTATATAGTACAGATATAAATTTGGGCAAACTCTTTTGATAATAATAATATTACACAAAATTTCAATAGTATAAGTGAGGGCAACATTTGGCCCTTAAAGCTTAACTAGTTAGAAATACACTTGAAATATCTAAAATTAGATGGTAACTAGGACTCTCTTTGTCCTCGATATTTTATTCTATTACTTCTAAATCTAAAGTTCATTGAAACCAATGGGAATACTCCACTGACTTCCATGGACTTTGGATCATGCCCTTCGATCTCACAGTAAAGACATTAGCTCAATGGATTGTCTTGATACCAACTCTAGAAGACACTTGTTCAATGTCTTTGTGACTTTAATTGTATTATCACTTTTTAATGATGGCATAACAGGCCCTTTCAGGCACAGGACTTCATTTGAACAATATTGCTTTCATCACACAGCACAGCCACTGACAGAGTATTTATTTCTAAATGGTAGAATGTGGTTTATTTGCTTTGAGAAATATTGAATAGTTAATTCTGATGTTCACATTATTACATGCTAAATCTCTTGTAGAAAATATTGGTATATGTAAGGAGATCAAACATATATCCAAACATGAATTTGTTATAAAAATGTTCATTGAAGGGAACAAAGACACAAGTAAAAAAAGCATAAGAATTCATCACATGAGCAGTAAAAATGGCATTTTGAGAGTGTTCTATATCTTCAGTAAATGTAATGCAAGGTGATTGTGCGTGCGTCTTTTAGTATTTTATTAGCAATATGAAAATATTTTAAAAGATTGAAGGAGAAGAGTTAAAAAGGGGCTATGAGCTGACATGGGAA